TGGTTACCAAGCAAGAAGTAGAAACACTGGCTGGATAGCATTGTACTGAAGACTAGAGCAATGGTCAGGCAAGCAACAGCAAGTGCTGGAGAAAAGAATTGGAATTTTGCATAGAACGCTAATGAAATAGTACAGTATGGTGAAGCCCCAGAAATGGGGACCAGATGGACACTTAAAAAAAAAAAAATTATACCTGGTGTCAAAGTAGAAAATACTTGTCTTTGATCACATGCTGGAGAATATATGAACTGTTTTGTGTAAAATGGAAGTTGTAGGGATTTTTATGACAAATTTCTAAGCTCTAGTGAACAGAGTCATTGTTAAAATTGTGATTTCAGTAAGCCAGGTCAGGTTGAAACATGTCATTACCTACCTTAATAAAGCTCTTTGATTTCATGGCCACCTCCCACTCCATCTGGGATTTTATTGTTCTTTGTAAGAGTATAATTTTTTTTTTTTTTTTTTTTTAAGATGACTGGTAAGGGGATCTTAACCCTTGACTCGGTGTTGTCAGCAACATGCTCCCTGAAGTGAGCAAACCGGCCATTCCTACATAGGGATCCGAACCCATGGCCTTGGTGTTATCAGCACCACACTCTCCCGAGTGAGCCACAGGCCGGCCCTGTAAGAGTATAATTTTTAAAGTAAAAAAGGACAGGAAGTTGCCCCCAACATGGTGTCAGCCTCTTCTGAAACCATGCCTTTATGCCCTCTTCTGAATGGAGTAACGTTCTGGTTCCCACTCTGGGGTGGACAGTTACAGATTCTGCTGCCCAGTATCTGGAAGCTTCTGCCATTCTTAGTTTAAAAACCCCAGCCCCACCCTCTGTGAACCTCAGTTGAGTTCCAAGGTGGTTATGAAGCTTGGCTGGCACCTCAGATATTTTGAATTTTCCTTGCCACAGGAATAGTTTCCAGGGTAGACTCATAAACCAGTCAGTGAGACCCCACTGTGTGAAATCTGTGGAAGTATTTGGAAATCTTTCTTTTCTTCCTGGAACTGCAAGCTCTTAAGTATAATGGGATCCTGTAAGCAGTCAGGACCACCATGTGCAGCCTCAGCATAAAAGCTACTCTTAAGAAAGCAGAGCCAGAACTCGAGGCAGATGTCTTGAAGTTTTGGGAGTCCTAAGTCCACCTGAGGCTAAAGCCAGTGATACTTCTGGGCTTTCTTTTTTTGTTTATTATTTTTTTTACATTCTAAGATGTTGCGGAGCAGGTATGGAAGAGGGGGAGAGGCAAAGGGAGAAGGAAATAGGGTGGGAGGAGAAAGGGAAGTGTGATTGAGGCCTGTGGCACCCCCTCATTCTTGCAGGGGAGACCAGGGGGCTTCCAGTGGTGGCTTGGTCATTGTTGGGCTAGATGCAGATGTCGGGGGGTACGGCTGAAGCCCTTGCCCCCCACCATCTCAGCTCAGGAACTCAGGGCTCGGCCCTCCCACCTCCCTGGCTTGGGAGTGCATGGTGTTTCCAGTGATGGCTCAGTGGTCCTTGCTGGGTTGGTTGTGGATGTCGGGGTGGGGGGCTGGGGGTGTGTGGCCAAGGTCTTCAGCCCACCTTCCTACACCGTCCCCTTAGGCTGCTTTGAATAAGGGTTTTTGCTCCTTGA